ACACACACACACACACACACACACACACACACACACACACAAAGTCTACCATCTTCTTCCAAAACTATTCATGACTGACATCCTCCAGAAAGTCTTGACCTTGCTTGACTCAGACAGCTTCTTTATTCTCTGTCCATACAGTACTTAGTGTGCACTCTATTCATTTGGATTTGTTTATGCTTATTTGGATCCTTGGCATCATCATCAGACTATCTCCTCTCTCCTAGGTTTATTGAGATTTCCTCTGTAAAATCACTGTAGTCTTCTCCTTCCCTTTCACCCTCCCACTGCCACCACTCCTTGGTTCATGCCCACAGAAACCCACATATAGATTATGGCAAATACCCCCTGAGAAGTCAACCTGTCTCTAGCCTTTTCTTCTTTCAATCTATTCTAATCCTTGGCTGATTAATCTTTCCAAAACCCTGCTTTTTTAATAATTCTAGAGTTACAAACTCTGTGAAGAAAGCAGAGCTATCATCATCATCATCATTTTTGCACATGAGAAAGCCAAGGTGAAGTGATTTGCCCAGGATCACCCAGTTGGTAAGTGAGGGCAGGTATTCAGGACAGGTCTCCGAAGGCCAATATCTGTACTCCTTCTGTTATAGTCATAGCTTCTACTTGGAGACTGGCAGTGGCTCCCCATTGTCTTTCTAATCAAATCCAGACTCCTCATTCTGGTGTTATCTAATATAGGCCCCATCTTCTCTAGGCACCATTATCTCCTATTACATGATAATACATATCATCCAAAGCAGATAGATCTCCTCCCCTCTGTCATTCCCCACACACAAAGTGTTAATTTTTCATTAGAATTCCTTCCTCCTGCCACATTTGTCCATGTGATCAAATCTTTCAAGCCCCATCTCAAGTTTCATCTTCTCCACAGAGCCTTCCCCAATGCCACTGGCACATGAGGTTTTCTCCTCTTCCTGATCTTATGTAATACTTATTCTGAATACTTTTCATTTTAAAATTGGATTATTATCCAATCTCTTCTTCTCTTCTTCTTTCACATGTATAAATTGTGTTCCCACAATAAGAAAGTAAGGTTCTTAAGTGTAGTGAACCAGACCAGACTTCTTTTAAGTCTATCTGAATGTCAGGAAGCATTGGGTTCCAGGTATTCAACAAATTCTTGGTAAATTGAGTGGTTGTTTCTTATGTGTGGATTTTTGTCCTTCCAACTAGATTGTAAACTCTTAGTGGGCAAAGGTGATATCTTCTATACTTTTTTTTACTCCAACCCATGACCGTGATTTTCTTAAATAATAATAATAATTGTTGATTGTCTAAAAACACATACAATGCCTAATGTGGTGGCTTTTGTTCAACATTTTACTTTGACTGATATCTTTCAATTTTGTCTTTGTAGCCCAGGTAGAGAGGAATGTGGTATAGTAGATAAAGAGTTGGCCTTGGAGCCAGGAAGACTTGGGTTCAAGTCCTGCCTCAGGTACATACAGGCTGTGTGACCTTAAGCTTCATCTTTAGGTGCTCTAGGTGACCCCATAAGACTACAAATTGCAAAGAAAGCACCCACATTAATAAAAGGAATTTCCTTATTTGGGTGTTCCTTAGAGCAATGAAATCATGGGTCCAGTCCCATCCATATCCTATCCTCAACTGATGCTTAATAAAAGGTTGGATGGATTGAATTCACAAATTGGACAGTGACTGGGGATGCAGGTGTAAAGGGGATGAGGAGGAGGTATGCAGAAAACAGGAAGGAACCAGTTCAATTTAACAAGCATTATTTAATCCCTTAGTATGTGCCAGCTACTAGGGAAACAAAGACAAAAATAAGCCAATTCCTTCTCTCAAAGTGCTTACATTCCATTAGGGAAAAGCCATATGTACCCAGAGAAATAAATGTGAAACATATACTCGGTAAGTACAAAGAAATTTGCAGAGAAGAGCACTTTCAACTTGTAGCTTCCTCAAATTAACAATGACAAGTCTGTGTTACAGCTAGGGAAGGGAACACTTTGAATTATACAAATACCCCCATTGAAGGTCACTAGTGGTTCCATGAAAAGATGGTGTTAGGGGAAACAATGGTATCAGGGGAGCAGCTGGTTCTCTTGGAACATTGTTTGCACATGTGTAGCAAGCAATGTGGCAATAGTAAAGATGACATGCAGGAAAGGTGATACCAAGTATCACCTTAAGAAAGCAAACAGTGGGTCCGCTGAGTTTTGTGGCATCACAGTGAGGTTTGGTTATAACATACTAATGGTATTACTAATAAACAACATGGACCAGGACAAAGTTGTGCTGGGTATACCTGTCATCACAACTATTCTTGACTTGAGGTACCCCATACTACATACTGAGTCAGAGCAGCCTTCCCTCCAGCCGAGCATAAAATTTATTTCTTGGTAATATGTAAAATTTCCTCACAGGAAATTGAAAGGTGGGAGAGTAGGGTTTTGTTTTTTTTGTGCTTTTGGACAGTTTTTTTCCTTGTTCTCCAGTTGAGTGACCTATGAAACTATATAGTTTGAGATGAATCGTACCCATCTACATTGAGCCTATCATTTTAGTAAGGGAAATTAAATTTTGCTGTAAGATTGCATCAAAACATATCTTATCAATTCCAGGAGGAGAGTTATAATAGAGCATAAATATAATAGCATATTTCAAATCTGCAGACTTCAGTACAAGCACAATCAGGGGTTGTATCCACTAGGCAGAAGTCATCTGGAGACAGCTCTGACACCCTGATGCCATTAAACCATTGACCTCAGCAGCAAAATCTCTGATTTTCTTGTCCTTCCCATGTTTGACTACCACCCTTGGTCCCTTGAGTGACTATTCACCATACTGTGTGTGTTCCTCTTGGCAGGTACCACGACCAACAGGATGTAACTAGTAACTTTCTGGGTGCAATGTGGCTTATCTCCATCACATTCCTTTCCATTGGGTATGGGGACATGGTTCCTCACACATACTGTGGAAAAGGTGTCTGTCTTCTCACTGGCATCATGGTGAGTATATATTATATATAATTTTTTTCCTCCCAATTTCTCTGTCATCGAAACTATGAACTCATACTTCTTGTTTAGGCCCCGATGCTTTTCACGCTATTCTTCATGTTAAAAACTGATGGTGCTCTTCTTTGGCTGCATATGTCAGTCAATCAGTAAACATTTATTAAGCACCTACTACATGCCAGGCACCATATGAAGCATGTGCAATTGGGCACGAAAAGTCAGGGCTTCCTACAGATCATTTTTAGTTTCAGGCTTCTTTTTTTTCCCCTAAGGTCCAAAATCCCTGTCCTTCATAAAAGGAGTTTCCCAGCCCATTAAAAGGCCTGGGTCTTAAAGCCCTGTGAAGTCTAGCCTAAAATGAAGCATTGGCCTTTTTACTTTGGTTACAGCAGGTCAAATGGAGAAAGCACTGATTGGAGTTAATGTCAGAAAACCTTGGTTTTGTGTCCTGGTTCTGCCATTTTCTACCCATTGGACACTGAGCTACTAACTTAACTATTTGAGCCTCGGTGCTCTCATCTATAAAATGGGCACACTGATACTTGTATGACCTACCTCACAGGGTTGTTGTGAGGATTTAAGTCAGAAGGGACATGAAGTGATTTGTAAAGCTCCTATAGCTTTCTATAGTGCTATAGAAAAATCATCATTTACTATTGTTCTACTCTTCTCATGCTTTTAGTCAATTCAGTTCCATTCAACAAGCATTTACTGGGCACCTACTGTGTATTAGGCATTGCACCAGGCACTGGAGCTGCAAAGTCAAAAATGAAACAGTCACTACCCTCAAGGAGTTTACATTCTACTGGGAATAAATGACGTGTATCTGATAAGCATATGTCAAATACATGCAGAGTTAATACAATTAAATTTTAGTAGAGAGAGAGCAGTTAGAAGTGGAAAGATCAGGAAAAGCTTCACGCAGGAAGTGGCAGCAGAGCTAAGTTTTGAAGAAAGTTAGGGATGCTTTGAGGTAGAGATGAGAAAAGAAGAGTATTCCAAGAAGTTCAGCAAGCCCCATTTGCAATAAGCAACGTGACTCCATTATTAGCGGACGTATGGCACCGCTCCCTCCATATCTCTGTTCTCTGGCAGTGGACAAAGGGATGATTTAAGAGGACAGAATCTACTTCCTCCCAAAACTTTAAGGCTAAGCAAGCCGTGATTATTCTTCAGTGGTTTAACAGCAATCTTTCTTAGACATAGAGTTGGACCAACTGACCGTGAATTTCATTCCGATTCTCCGAATATTTATGTGTCATCTTGGTAACTCAGAGGCAAATTCTCTCTCTGAGGTTTAAGCTAATTCTTCACCAACCCCACTGTTGTCTGTAGTATCCCTCCCCTCCTGATTTTGCCATCAAGCATTTTCCAGGCCTTGTCTCAGCTGACCTAAACCCAGCCAGACTTTACCTGAATTCGATGGAGCACCATTGTCGGCTTCTTCAAGGGATTAACAGCCAGGTCTCAAAAGTAACAAATAGGAAGACGAATATATAGTCAAAATTATTCATGTTATTGGGTACCGGGCTAGTGACTGATGTGAGGCAAAGAGAGTAGGACATGATTCTGCTTTTTTCAAGGATAGATACCAGACTCTGAGTAAAAGTTTGGGTGGCCTGTATTAGCAAGCAACTTTCAATACAAAAGTTAATAGCAAATTGCTTAGTACCAAGGCAGGGATAAATCGCGGCTAAGTGTGAGCCTTAGAAACAAACACCTCTAAGAGTTTATCAGGAAACTGCATGGCACAGGTCTAACCTTCACCAACAAGTAGTGGGAATTATTCTTAATCAAAGACTGCAAAATTGTATGGAATGATGAAGACTTTCCTGAGTCTCATCAAAACATCCCCTGGAAGATTAGAATTTCTGCCACAGAAACATCATTTGGTCAATGTCAACCCACTCAATCAGTGACAGGCCGGGTGATTTGGCAGCCATCTGATTGATGCACCAAGCTGTCAACCTTGCTGTTATTTTTAAACACCAGCCATTCTCTCTCCCAGCACTGAAATTCAACACATCCAGGAAACAACCCCTATACTGACCATTTCACGGGTTTCTTGACTATCTCTCATCTCCATGCTTCCTATCTGGAAAAGGTGAGTGGCATGGGCATGAATGACTCCTTCCTGATGACCTTGGCTCTGCCCCTTCCTTGTCTTGTGACCTGAAGCAAATCAGTTAACCTGCCCTGTCCATTACCTCATTTGTTGGCTAGCTAGACAATGGCTTCTTTGAAAGATGATTCCACTTCCCTGGGGGAATGGTGGTAACAAAAGAAAAAAAGTATAGACAACAAGGGATCCACAGTTCCCCCTCATTATTAAAAATTCAGGGTATTCCATGTCTCTTTCTTTGAGCAAAACTCCTCTGCTCAAATATGTGATTTTTTTTTACAAAAGTGCTTTATTCTACTCATCGTTAATATTTCTCTTTTTTAACTTTTATTTTATCTTTTTCAATTAACAAGTATTTATTTTTTCTTCCTCTCAGCTCCCTTCCCCCCACTGGGGAGGGGGCGGGGAGAACCCATACCTAGTAACAAGTATGCATATTCAAGCAAAACAAATTCCTGCTTTGGTCTTGTCCAAAAATTACACTTCTCATTCTGCATCTTCATTGTCAGGATTTGCATCCAAATGTAAATTAGCTGCCTCACTCTATAGTCTGCCACCATTGAGAAACCCTGGTGGTGTTTTTGTAACAAGAAACTTGCCTGTTCATGCGGAGTCATCCCTTTCAAGGGTTTGAGTCCCCTCCTCCCCATGCCGCCCGCCCCCCCCCCCCAAACCTGCTAATACTATGTATATCTCCTGATTATTATTTCGAGTGTACTTACTAATGGTAGGCCTTACAGTTTGGTTACCATGGACACCATGAAGGCCGGGGCCAGGCCTACTCACAATCGAAGAGGAAGGATTTGTGTATGCATGCTGTAAATAGTCTTAATCATTGTTTTCTTTCTGCTACCTCAGTAGCAGTGCAATTATCAGCTATTAAGCAGGGGGTATAATTGTCTGAGCAACTTGACGTGACTGGCATAAAGCTGGTGGATCTGGAAGACTTCACCCTCTCCCTCTATACCCCCAAAGCAGATAGGTCAAAGTACAGTGTTGTTAGTTTTTCAATGGAGGAAACTTTATCACAGACATTCTGAAGCATTGAGGAGGCTATATATAGTATTAATATACAATATATAACAACAAATAAGTAATATATTTATTTTATATTTATAAAATATATAATAAATACATTATATTAATATGTTTCATGTTATATATAGGGGCAGTTAGGTGACACAGTGGATAGAGTGTTGGACCTGGAGTCAGAAAGACCTGAGGACAAATCTGGCCTTAGAGACTAGCTCTGTGACCCTGGGCAAGTCATTTGGCTGCTGTCTGCCTCCGTTTCCTACTCTGTAAGATGGGAATGATAATAATTGCACCTAATTCCCTCATCCCTGCCACCTCCACCCCCCGGGATGTTATGAGGATAAATTAAATAATTTTCGAAGAGTGTCTTGCAAACCTTCTCACTATTATACTGAAGATTTAAAACAGAGAGGATGCTGAGACCCTGAAGTGTTGTCTGTAGTGCTCCCTTTGGATTCTGAAGGCATGACATACAACCTGGCTAATGTAGGCCCATTCCATTGTATCTTCATTACAGCGAGTCGGGCTCTCTGAGCCAGACTATATGAAGCATTAATGAGTTATGGGGGGCAGCTGGCAGAAACTGCTTTGTCAAAGCCTGTTAAAGACACTGAGGTCAAATAAAAGCTTCATGAAATCAGTGTATTTATTTAGGCTTGAGGTGAGCCTCAGGAGGAAGGGGGTAATAAAGGGAATGACAGGGCAGAGTCACTTTTGCAGAGTGGTGGGGAGGGGAGGTGGTGATGGATAGGGAACAGAGAATTCAGCACGACATTTGGTGGGTTTCCATTTCAGAAGATAAACTTCTCTCCTGAAACACCCACACAGTTACCAAGGATCACTTAGTCTCAAACCAATTGATGTTATTCTAGTTGTTAAGAGGAATCTGCTGAAACCAAGGGATCCAGCTGTAAACTCTCCTGGCCTCTCTGTTACATTTGTCACTTTCATTTATGTGTTATTTTCTTTTCTGCTTCTTTAGTTAAGGATACATCATCTTTATCCCCTCAGGATGATTTTTTTTGTCCCCCTCCCCCCAACTTCTAAAGGCTTTCCAGCTGGGAAATGTTTCTTGGAAACCAAAAGCAAGAGGACAGGAATGGAAGAGTCCAGAGCCTCTGGCTTGTTTCCAAGCCCCATAAATCAATTAGGTATTTTCACCCCATCTCAGGCCATTCTTTTCCCCATTGCAGGTGCCTGGGTTCATATTCTGCTTGTCATGCCCCACCTGTCTTCCTAGGAAAAAGAAAAAAAAAGCCAACTCACAAGATCCACTTACCATTTCTTCTCACTGAGGGAATGAGAATCAGAATAACTCCAAGTAAGACCTGGGGAATAGGGTTAGTGTCAACTCTGACTCAGTACTTGGCATATCCAAGGGTAAAAAGTCTGAGTCACAGATTTGCTCCACATTCTGACCCCATGGTAGTCACATAAGCAGCTGCTCACCCTTTTCTGTCTTCTCCTCCTTCACTGCTGTCTCCAACGGACCAGCCTGTCTCTAAATTCTCATGTTTACGCACAGTAAGCCTCTCTTGGGCCAAGATCAGCCATTTTGTGCTAGTGTCCTGTTCCATCCCTTAAAACCTTGGCACCTCCACCCTCTTAACATTCATTCATCATTCATTGACTGCCTACAGAGTGCAAGGTACTAAGGGGAGGGATACAATGATGAATAAGGCTTGGGCCCTTCCCTGGAGGAGCTGAGAGTCTGTCAGGGATGATAAAATAAGGATGCTAACAAGAATACAACAAAGATAACATGACACAGTGGGAAGCACACTAGATTTGAAGTCATAGAATACTAAATCTAGACCTGGAAAGGACCTGAGAGGCC